CGGTTTCAAATTAGTAAATCCTTCATATTTTTAGTAGGTCACTGTGTTCTTAATATTTTCACTAAAAAAAATATATTATTTGTGGAGGTTATTTTTTGGGAGCACGTCTTTGGTGCTACTGGAGTATATATCTCTTTACTAAAAGTAGAAAAGAGAGATGATTTTGAGGAAAATAACCATACAAGGAAGATAAAATGATAAAAAATGTTAATATACCCCAAATCTCATTTGCTTTGTCGATCCAGATTATGGACTGAACAATTGAATCATCTATTGAGCGATGGAGCCAAGCCAACATCATCATGTTGCATCTCTCCCATGCTGAATACTTCACATTATCTTCTGATGGAGCTTTTATAGTACCATTCACAAAGCCAAGCTTGTTCTTCGAAGTCAGAGCCACTTTAATTGCTAGTGACCAGGAGTGATAATTTCTTCCGTTCATCGATGGAGTAACTAGGATTAGAGAAGGAGATTCGTTTGGGTGAAGATAATAAGGATCTGAAATTTGGTTTGATTCTGCCATGGTAGCAGTGTAAAGGAAAAGGAAAAAGAAAAACAGAGTATTTGGTTGCGGAAGACGATGGATGGACCAGAGCTTTCAAAGCTCTGATACCATCTTAGAAATCGTGAATCATCTCATTCATTGAAAAATCAAAATCCTTAGCCTTTTCACTATCCTTTCTATTATATACATCATCCCTAAAATACTGAGCCAAATAACTAACTAACAGCTAGATGTACACGTCAGCTAACAAACTAACTGACTCAACAAACTAATTGCTATGTATTATCTAACTGACTCTTACTTATCAGGTTTGGGGTATATTAACAAAAAAAAAGGAAAAATGTTTGTCATTTTAAATGACACAAAGTTATGTCATTTTTAATGAAACTACGTCGTTTTGGTAAGTTTTTACATTCTCTCTCCTCTATTTTCTTTTTATTTCTAATTTTATAAATTATAGAAAATGATAAAACACACCAAAACGACGTAGTTTCATTAAAAATGACACAAAGTTGTGTCATTTAAAATGACAAACACTAAACCCAAAAAATATATATTATATTTTCTAAATTAAGTAAATGATGCACTAAGTTCAGTACTCTTTAAGTACCGAAGATATTTCCATTATGTGGAGGCTAATAAAATCTCCAATAATTATGTGCATTGTGGCTGTTTTAAGACAACCTCACTGTATTTTCAATTTTTGTCCGTTTTTATAATTTTGTGGAGGGTTTGACTCCAAAATATTTATAATTTTAAAATGTGAAAAATGTTATATTTACAAAAAATTTATTTACAAACTCTTATAAACTACATTAAAAGTATTTAATCAAAAATATATTACCGATAATACTTAATATAATTTGTAAAAAAAATTCATAAGCACATTTTTCCTTGAATTTTTTTAAAATTTTCGAAGAATGACCGTTATAGGGCTTGATCGGAGTCTCTTTGTATAAGCAAGAAGATCCAAGTCCAAGGCTTATCCGAGTCTCTCAGAATGGACGAAGAGACTGTTCAGAAGCAGGGCATTGTCACCATTTTGGGCTCTGACTTTGATAGCAACAGAGCTTCTGCCACTTCTTTGCCTCGTACACTGTCCGCAGACATGTCTTCAAAGAAATGGCTTTTTCAAAATGGGTTTTCTCCAATGAAAAAGATTTCTTCATGCGAAGAACTCTCACACTCACACACTTCCATTTTCTTCGATCAAGTATTTTCACTTGATCTTGGGTTTATGCTTGGATCAATCTCTACTTGATCTTCCCTCTATTTCTTTTTGTTTTCTCTAATTGTAGAATTCCTCCATTTTAATTGTGTCATTTTTGTTGTTGATTTGAAATAATGATGACTTTCCTGCTTGGGTGTGCACAATTCTTATGCTGAGAACATGGATTCCGATGAATCTTGCATTTCCTCCTATTCGATGTGTCTTCAGCACTAACAATGTCATCGTATTTGGGCACTGTCGTGTGACTTTTTCAAATTTTTTTATTTGTAATTTTCACTCTATGCTTCCCGTTCTCTTTTCCCAAATTTATCTTGAAATGATTTTGTTGATTTCGTCTAACAAATCTAGTCATTGTCATGCGCTGGTTTCCTCTGCATATTTTGCTATACCTCACAAGATGAAGATCATATTCATTTATTTCCGATTTTGCATGAACTATTTTGATACCTACATTTATCATCCAAAAGATCCTTCCGAATTTTGTGAGTGACATTAAAAATGCTTGTCAATATTCAAGTCTATTCAAAATTAGAAATAGAAGGTACTAGTTGATTGGAATCACCATTTTTATTAGTTAAGTTGGTTCTTTGTTATTCGTTTCTTTTTTAAATTATGTATTTGGTTTGATTTTTGCAGGATATAAGGAAAACTAATAGAAACCAAGAATGCAGATATCTTACTTTTTATATAGGGTTATATTTATTTTATTTTATATGATATAACCAACTTTTCTACACATTTAAAAAAGGATTGGGTCTCACCACTCTTTTTCTCTCTTCTCTTATATGTAGATTCCACGAGATAACTATTTTCTTACAATATATAAAAAAGTATTACTGGAGTGAAAGATTTAGCAAATCACATGGTGATTGGAAAGTATGTTATCTATTCAGTACTTTTAGCGATATTATGTTTTCTTAACATTTTATTTCCTCATTTGGATAGTCACCCTTTGATTTAGATCTTATTTTATTTATTTGTTTGTTTTATTTAACCAGATTGTGTTTAGTTATTTTTTAGGTTTGAGACACTTGCTAGTGCAGACAGCAACGGTGATGTCCAGTTTTGGGACAGCAAACATGGAACTCTCTTACAAGCTCATTCTTTACACAAGGGAGATGTAAATGCAGCATCCCTAGTCATGATAGGGTGTTCTCTACTAGTTTTGATGGCAAGATATGGAGTTACATAATTTGTGAGTTTTTATGAAACCATAGTAATTAATGTTTTTCACATTGCCATGGGCTGTTAATGATTTTACTTGTATCATTTTAGTGTTAAAAAATAAATAAAACAAATGAATAGTGAAGCATGTGGCTTATGGAATTCAATGTTTACAGGCCAATGATTATATATGAACAGAACGTGAAGACTAATGCCAAGTGATCTAACCCCAAGGAATTGGGGAAAATTACACACGGTTATGTTATGTCTGGTCCATATAAGAACGGATAAATATTATGGTTGGTCATAGTGCGATCTCTATTTTATTACACAGAATCAATGTTGTTGAGATATGTTCTGAGACTGAAACAAAAGGAGATATTGCAGATGGCAGAATTTAATTTTAATCAGAAAAAAAAATTTCATGTATCAAATTATCAAAATATTTTTCGTTATTACATAAATCTATTAGAAAAAAAATACTTAAAATTTTCAAAGTAATAAGATTGATGTTATTTTAACAAATAATAAATGTAAAAATTTTAAAATATAATATAAAATTAAATTAGAAAAGAATGTGCAAATTATATGTACATATACATATATGAAATTTTCACGTGATCTTTATGAACATTTTCATGTGATGTTAATGAAATTTTTTTTTTTGGTATAACCTGGATGTTAATGAAAATTTAGTTCATGTGATTTTTGTGAATACATTTTTTTATCTTTTATATTTTAATTTAGTTTGAGCATATAAATTTTAGTTTGCAACTTGGTAAGCCTTATAGGTCGTATTAGGTTTTATAATTTTTTATAATAGGTCAGACCAAACCTATAAATTAGGCCTTTAATAGGATAATAGGTCAGTATAAGCTTTAAATATTTTACAACTTGGCCCATTTATACCCCTGTGACCTATGAAGAACATCAACGTAGAGGGACAATAAACTTCACAATTAAAAAAAAACATGGAACAATCAGCAACAAATGTCTAAAATCATTTAAATGACACTGGATCCACATAAATCATTTAATCAGTGTTTAGATATTTTAAAAATACAAAAAAAACTAAGTTGTTAATGAATATGTACAAGAATCTTTCATACTTCGTATACATACATTTATCTTTATTGATTTTTTTCTTTAACAGTTTCTACTTATTAATCGTCAAAATTCTCATTCTTGTTGTGAAATTAAATACAAATAACACCAAGAAAAATTTCAATTCCATTACCAATAGCAACTATAGCTCTTCATTAAAATAATTTTTTTTTTAAAAAGGTAAACGTAAAATAGCATTCCATTTTTCAAAAGAAATAAAATCAATAAATACAACCACACATAAAAAAAAGTTGTAAATATAAAAAAGGGACATGAGTGAAAGAAACACTCAATAAACAATTATGGTCGGCAAAGACAAAGAATTTCTCTTTTACAATGTTCAAAAATGCAAATCAATTCCATTAAAAATTTCAATTCTTGGTCTGAAATTAAATACAAATAACACCAAGAAAAATTTCAATTCCATTACCAATAGCAACTATAGCTCTTCATTAAAATAATTTTTTTTTAAAAGGTAAACGTAAAATAGCATTCCATTTTTCAAAAGAAATAAAATCAATAAATACAACCACACATAAAAAGGGGCATGAGTTTTCACTCATGTTAGAAACACTCAATAAACAATTATGGTCAGCAAAGATAAAGAATTTTTCTTTTACAATGTTCAAAAATGCAAATCAATTTTTTCCCCCGCGACAATATAATTACCAATGCATATTCCAAAAACATATATCCGGAGAATCTTAAGAAAGGAACGAAACATCGTACCTTGTCACAGAATGGCCGGGTTCTAGGTGGTGAGTGCGAATAAGAAAAAAAAGGTTAGAAGAAAATCCTAATTGGAAAAAGATGAAAGAATAAGAAGAAAGCAATCTGTTATCTGGTCACACACGCAAAGCAACTCCAAATCTTTGTCTGTTACCATTTTTACAATTTTAGCTAGGGCCCAATTATAATTATTTATATAATTATATATAATAAATAAAATTTGTTGAAAATATAGCTAGGGCCCAAGTCCTATGTAAGTATATTGTGGCTAGCCACTGGATACTGCATGTGGATACCTGCAAGACACTCAAACATTTAAGTTAGTATTTGAATAATGAGTTGATAAGTATAATGAAAAAGATGATTATGCTTGGATCTTGGCGTCTTTATTTATAGTATGCGGCAAGACCTGCTTGTAGGTTCAGTATACCGCCTTAGTATGATGACATGGTTAATATGTCTTCTCAATTGTTGATTATGGTTGGTTTTCTAGCCTACCCTTCACACGGGATGCCTCTTAACGAGTTATATTACTGAGACTTGGCTGGAATCTTGTTCTTATGATTTAGTTGTCTGTGTTATAAAATATCTTACGGAATTATATGTACACGTATCTAACACAGAGGCGGACCGGCGCTGTTGCCTGTGTCTACACATGCAGACACGAAACTTTGAGAATTTTTTTTTTCAAAAGGGTGGGTGATTTAGGTCAAGTAAAAAAAAAATTAAGAAGATTGAAAAAAAAAAAAGTAAACATAGGCCCAACCCAACCAACCCATATAATTAAAAGTTTAAAACTTAAACCCTATCTCATTGCTTTGTCTCTTCTTCTTTTTTTGAAACATAAACCTTATTAGCTCCAAACCTTAACAGACATCAATGATTCCTGAAATTCAATCTTCATCAAGTGGAGGAGAATCGCACGGGATTTTTCACGTTTTTTTGTGAAGCAAAAGTGACCAACTTTGGATCAAATAGACATCGACAGAGGTGAATTTTTGATCAATTAACCCCTACAATTAATACATTTAATTTATTTATTTTTTAAAAATATCTTCGGGAGCACTGCCCCCGAACCCCCATTTTAAGTGTGCACACATAAACAAAATTTTTTTAGTCCGCCACTGATCTAACATGTTTTGTTACTCATTAATTAAATTTTTAGTTTAAATCTTTTACTTATGGTGAGTTGTTCTTTAATTGGACCCTTTATGACTCATAATATAAGTCTAAATTACCAAGCATGATGCCCAAACCTCACCATTTTAATTCCATGTATATACAATAACATTTCTATAAGTGAATAATCGAAAAGGGAAACAAACTATAAACTGAAAAGGTACAGATAAGAATAAGAGAATGAAGAATTATTTTTGACAAGCGTTTTCATAACTATTAATTACTATTAAGAGGTTCGTTTAAATTAAGATATACTAACTTATAATATATATTTGTCTCTTAAAAAAATTAAATGCAATTTTTTAAAATAAAAAATGATACTATGAATTGAATAAATCATAAGTAAGAAAAAATAAGGCCTTTTGACCTTGGCAGTGTTGTTTTTGTAATGTATGCTCGGAATAATTTGTGGATCAAAAGTTTTGCCAATATAATGCATAACAACGCGGTTGGAGAATTGACGTTTAAGGACGTGATAGAAAGCATACCGCGTCCTGTGCAATTTTTTTGGCACGGTCATCAGAGCTCCTAAGACGTGATACCTTACCTACCACGTCCAGTACAGGTCTGTCAGTGCTTTTAAGACATGATACCTTACCTGCCGCGTCCTGTGCAAAATGATTTTGGTAATAAGAATATTTTACTCTTTGTACAGACTAACGCTATCGTATTCATATCAAATACCAAACAAAATAATATTATCTTATCATGATGTGCGAATACATAAGCTCGGTCCAGTCTTCATGTTGTAGCAGCTAACTGAAACAGTGCAGCGTAAGATGAACCACCCTTCGACAAAGCCTTCATTGCACTGTGTTTGACCTGTTTCACTCTCTCCCTTATGGGGTTATCCTTCAAGCTTTCGTCCACCACCATAATCTGCCTCACCATACTCGCTATCTCTTCCCTGTTCACCACTTTCTTTGTGGGCAACACCTTGGGCCTCACCGCCACGCCCAACTCCTCTGCCAACAATGTGGCATTCATTCTCTGCTCCGCATAGAGCGGCCAAACGATCATGGGCACACCGTTGGTGATGCTCTCTAAGGTGGAACTCCACCCACAATGCGACAAGAATCCCCCGACGGAGGGATGTCTCAAGATGTCTACTTGTGGGGCCCAATGTGGGACCAACAGGCCCACTTTGTGTGTCCGAGATATGAACCCCTCCGGCAAGTAATTTGACAACTGATCGCCGCCGCCGCTACACGCGGTGGTAAAGAAGGCAGCGTCGGAAGCACCTCCGGTCGGAGGGCGCATCACCCATATAAATCTTTGTTGACTCAACTCCAAACCACAAGCCAACTCGGTCATCTGCTCGTACGACAGAGTTCCTCCACTTCCAAACGACACATAAATCACAGACTCACTCGGTTGTTTATGAAGCCACTGCACCACCAACTCACTAGTTGGGTTAGTTTCTGACACGTGTTGTCTCACCAGAGGTCCGACACTATAAACGGGAACCTTCAGGATCCGACCCAATAAATCTCCATCTCGCAGTGCTTGAAGGTCTTTGTGCTGAAGCTCCTCCCATGTGTTTATCAGTATTCCATCACCTCTTGGGATCCCATTCGCTACGCCTAGATATTCTTGATACTCGATGACATTCCTGTCCAGCATGGGTTCGACCACATCTTCAGGACGAACCGAGTTGCAACCTGGTATTTTTAAGGGTTCTTTTTGGTCCACGTACTGTCCTTCCACTTGTTTGTCCAACGCAGGAGAATATATGACCAACGATAAAAACCAAGCGTGCGAAGCAACAAATACGTATTTGGGCATGTTGAGTTCCTGGGCTATGGACAAAGCCTCGGTACCGAATACGTCGACGACGAGCACAGAAGGACGAACGGTCATGTCAGAAAGTGCAGATCTAATGGCAGGCAGTGCTTCACGCATCATCACGCACAAGCGAGTGACCATGCCAGCGTCACCGTCGATGTTTGCTGATGGGATTTCAACGACATCAATGAGCTCGGATGTCATGGCTGATTTGAGAATATTGGTTTCTGCTTCTGAAGTATTGGAAGTGACGGCAAGGATAGTGACTTTGAAATTGTTGGACAGGACGAAGCGTTTACCAAGCTCGATCACAGGGATTAGATGGCCAAGGCCTGGGCTGGAAACCAGAACTATGTGTTCTGGCCTGTGCTTGTGCAAGTTCATGTCCATGAGATCGAGCAAGAGAGGAGGGAGGAAGAAGGAAAATTTTGGTTGGATATCTTGGTCAAAGTTCAAGATGCATGACATACAGGAAGTAATAATTGAGTTCAATAAATATTTTTGTTTTCTGTGTATACTATCGTTAGGTGTCTGTTGTATTCGATTCATGACATAGCAAGTAATATTATCTTTTTGGATAGTTTGCGGTTTGAATTTTATCTGCACTCTTCATGTCTTCTTCTGAGTGGTTCAAGGGTGGTGATTGATTGAGACATTTGAACGAGGAAATTGGTGGTTGTGCATTTTATAATGTGGTAGCAAATGCATATACAGTGACAGGTGTGTATCTAGCCAGGTTTGGATATTTGACTGAGTGAATCGGGAGGAAATAATACGTAAGTCCAAGAGTAGCTTGCTAGTGAAGGTACGTTCCGTTGCGCTAATAGCGCAAGGAGACGTGTATCAGCTAGCATCGAGCAGAAGATGCTTGGTCTTGTGATGAGATGCGACACTGAATGGCGGCTGGAGAGTGTACCCATGGAATAAATAAATTTTAGGTGCGTCTTGTTGCATCTAAATTCAGTGTATGTCATCAATGAGAATATTACACGTCAAAAGAAAGAGAACGAATTTGAAGGAGACAGAATTTTGGCTGACATATAATATTTTCATTAGTGAAATGCACTGAGTCTTTGGTATAACAACAACAGTAGTATCAAATATTTATTCTTATTCCATCATGAAATTGAAATTGATGGGTTACCGGATCTCTTGGTGGTATGTTATTGGGCCAAATTGATGGCCCATAACAAATTTATTTATTTATTTTGACTTCTTCTGTAAGCGATTATTTATGTTCCACTCCGATATTGCCAACGAACTAGCTCATATTGGCCGTCCTATTGATGATCTGGGCCTTGTAATTCATGCCCTTATACGCCTTAGTTCCACCCTATGTGTTCGAATCTTTGTTAAAAAATAAATATAGAATACAAAGATTAGCTTTTGCCAATTCCAATTCAAATAGGACCCGTTTCTATCAAACTTGATGTATCAGAGAGAAATACATATTGGTCAATTAGTCAACATCTTGGTTTTTCTTTGTGGAAGAAATGTCTGAGATTGATATTTGTTACTATTTTCTGTTTATTAATTTAAAATTTAAAATTTAAAATTTAAAATTTGTTGTTTTATATTATTTATTTGGAACCATTTTTTCTTACCCCTTATTTCCTCAACACGAGGCTACAAATGTCAAGCTACAATAATATCCCACAAAGAAAGCAAAAACGTAGAAAATGACCAAACCAATTTGATCACAAAATGAAATAACTTTCCTAATGAAGACAAAACACGAAAGTCTAAGTCCCCGCCATTGCCACTACGCTCTCATCATTCATGCACCTTATGCATTGAACTAATATTGATGATTGCATCTTGAAATGGCATTGAATCCTTTTACGAAACTACTTTATTGAATGCTTTACTGATATTGTTTTTCATGGAAGTTAAAGGATAAATAAAATAAAAAGAGATTTTTTTAATTGATTATAACTGGACAAAGTCATAGCACGAAAACCTCAAAACTACTGGAAATATCATTCTCATTATTGTTTAGTGATTTTATCCCATTCCAAGGAAGAAATAAAGAGGCTGCTGATCACATTAATGGTGATCTCACGAATTTGTCTATCAAGACAGCAATGACTTATGACTATACTAGAACTGATCAATTCGAGGTTGCAAATGGAAAGAGCCTTCGTATATCTTGAGTTTATTCTTATCCTCTACACCTTTCTTTTATTGTTCCTTGATATTTTGAGGTGAAGGTTATCAATAAAGATGTAAATGAGTCAGATGAAATTTGACTTTAATTTAAATAGGTTCGGTTTATAGAAAATAATTCAAACTTGACTTGGCTTATTAGCCCCATGTAAACAAAATTAAAAGTTTGGCTTAACTTTTTTTTAAAATATAATATTTCATCCGGTCTTTCAAGCCTACGAAATCTTCAAAAATAACATATTGCGCTCTGTAAATTAGGTTATGATATTTTGTAGAATAATTGAAATCACAATATAAAATATTAACAATTTAACTACGTTGCTGGATATAAAGAACAAACAATTGAATAAAAATATATTGATTTTTATTTATAAAATTATATTTTGATTTAATTTAAAGTAAACTAAAAATTTATACACGCAAGCACATGCATACACACTCACACACACAAACATATAATTATAATAATAATAATAATAATAATAATAATTTTATAAAGAATTTTTAATAATATCTAAATTTTTTAATTTTTTATTATATTTAAAAAATAAAACTTCATTTTCACTTTTACATTAAATATATAATGTACAATTGACACTTAATTTGTACTTATAATTAAAAGTTAAATTTAGGATTTTTGACCCTTTTTCTCCTTATTAATTAAAAAATAATTACTTTCCCCCCATTCCAAAAATATACACCAATCTTTCCCTTTTTAATCAAGTACATAACACACTTAATCAATTAAGTATTGAAAAAAATATTGTAATCGATTAACTTTCATTCCTACACTCCAGACAATGTTGTTAAAATCGAGATCTTAAGTAAAATCGGAAGGGGATTAAAAAATCGTAATGTAAAAAAATCGTAAAAAATCGTAAAAACGTAAAAGTGTTTGGAATATTAGTAAAATCGTTTTGATGAAAAAAAATCATGAAAATGTAAAATCGTAGTGATAAATCGAGATTTTAACAACAATGACTCCAGAAAGATATTTCAGAAAAAATGCCCCTAATGGACAACAATGTGACATATAATAGTAAATTAGATTTGGATCATCTCATGTTTAAAAGTGATCATGTGGTCATGTTATTTAATCACAACTACTTACTTAAAAATCACACACTTTTGTGTTATAGTATAAAGCATAAGAACAAACCTCTAGCCATTCATCTGTTGAAGCAACTCCTGGTCCCAAGTTCAACTTTTGGAGCTCTCTTTGTTTTCTTAGCAAATATTAATTTGCAGGCATATAGCTTATATCTCAAGAAAAACAAGCAAACAAAAAAAAAGTAAAAATGAAGAAATATTTACAGGTATAACTCATTGAGCTTTACACGACCAATCAAACCTCCACTCTGAAATTTTTTGGGATAAATATTAGACCCAAATTTGGACACTTGGTCACTCCTTCATGCTATGCTCTTTTTATTGACCGTTAAATCCTTGTTGTTCATTGAAAATCTGTGTGACATTGAACAAACTCCATGCAATGAGGCCACAAGGAACAATTGGTTAACTATTTTATGTTTTGTCTAGGAAAACAATTCCCTGTGTCCCCCTTATCAGCTTCCTTACTCCACAGTTGCTTGTCGCTTCTACTCTTAACATATCTGCAACAATAAAATCAAATATTATTTTTTATATTCATATATGGAGTTCTGCACAACAATAAATAACAATAGTGTATGAAACTAATCTTCATCAGGCTAAGGGGATAATCAAGAACCTCAGACAAGGAATTGTTGTGAATAACTAAAATAGATATGATTTAAGTATACATATGAGTTTCTATTAGTTCTAGTTGTTATGAAATTATATTTTCTAATAATTATTGTGGGTCACATATTATATTAATAATTATATTGTGCTATTTATATATATTGGATAAATTAAAGTGATCAGTTAAATATTCCCAAGTTAAATATTCCCAAATAGATTCCTAAGTGAGTATGGGTTGAATGAGTGGATACCGGTGTTGGGCCAACTAAGTATAATGGGAGCTTATTGCCCCAACAATAAAGATAAAAACACTATATAAGGGTTATGGTCCCCAATACGTCAAAATGTACAACCCTAGTTTCTCTTCTCCATCAAGAGAGAGACGGCACACTAAGGAATAAGGTTTTAGGGTGATTTGACTGAGGAAGACTACAAACCCCAAGAGACAAGATAAAAGGTATTCCGCTGCAATGGAGACAGGTATTCCTCCACCTTTATGTTGTTCTTATTTTTCTTTATGATTTGGTATGATGGATCTTGGCTTGTGGGTGATAGTTATCACCATAAGGTTTAGAGGAATTAAAAAAATTCCAACAATTGGTATCGGAGCCATCGTCATATTGAATTATGAAGGAATTAAGTTTTGTGATTTTTATATATGATTAATCATGAAGAGTTTTGCTTTATTGTCTTTTGGCATAAAGTTTATTATTTTTTGAACATGGGTTCCATCTTATGTATTTTGTATTAGCTATGTAGTGTTATTTTTGTTCCCTGACGGTGATTTTTTAGTTTTGGAACAAAAGCTACATTTTTAGAACAAAACTAGGATTCACAGTTTAATAAGGGTTTATTATTTAAATTTTGAATCTGTGAATAGATGGAATGTTTGGAAGAATTTTGGCTTTATAATCGATGAGGTTTTGTTGTTTGAATTTTTTGAATAAACAATGAATTCTCTTAGAATGTTTTGGACTTATAGTTTGAAAGAAATCGAATGTTTAAGGTCTTTGGTTTTGGGATTTTCTTTTAGATTTGATATTCTTTGTCAAAAGCCAAATTTAAATTTTTGAGTATTGTGCATCATTTTCAAGCTTTCATTTGAAAAGGCTTACATGTGCGTCGATTGTGCATTAATTTTTAAGCCTTATAATGAAAAAGTATTTATTGTGTGCATCATTTTCAAGCTTTCATTTGAAAAGACTTACATGTGCGTCGATTGTGCATTAATTTTTAAGCCTTATAATGAAAAGATATTTATTGTTATTGATATAATGATATAATGATACAATATGTATATTTATATACATTGAGAATTGATAAAGAATAATTTTCTTTATTGTTGTTATTTTATTTTTAAATGTGTTTATTATCCCTAAAAGTTTCTATTTGAAATTGAATATGATAGATTTGTTAGCCGCCACAGTGGCCAAATTTATAAAGGTTAATTTGATTTCAAATAGGTTGGTCATATAAATATATTTTATTTATGCAAATAATAATCAGCCCACAGGAAGGTTATTGTTTGGCCAAATAACATATGTTGTGTGA